CGCAGCAGTAGCAGAAGAAGTACCAGTAGGAGTAGTAGCAGTAGTAATCGTAGTATTGGTAATGATAGTCGTAGTAGTAGTAGTAGTAGTAGTAGTAGCAGTAGCAGTAGTAGTAGTAGTAGTCGTAATCGTAGTGATCGTAATCGTAGAGGTATTCGTAGTAGTTTTCGTAGTAGTAGTAGTAGTAGTTGTGGTCGTCGTAGCAGTTGCCCTGGTAGCAGTATTGTTATTCGTAGTACTTGTATCCGTTGTCGTAGTTGTCGTAGTAGTAGTAGTAGTAGTAGTAGTAGTAGTAGTAGTAGTAGTAGTAGTAGTAGTAGTAGTAGTTGTAGTAGTAGTAGTAGTAGTAGTAGTAGTAGTAGCCGCAGTAGTAGTAGTAGCCGCAGTAGTAGTAGTAGGAGTAGTAGTAGTAGTAGTAGTAGTAGTAGTAGTAGTCGTAGTAGTAGTAGTAGTAGTTGTAGTGGTCGTCGAAGTAGTACCAGTGGTGGTAGGAGTAGTAGTAGTAGTAGTAGTCGTAGTAGTAGTAGTAGTAGTAGTAGTAGTAGTAGTAGTAGTAGTCGTAGAGGTAGCAGTAGTAGTAGTAGCGTAGTAGTAGTATAGTCGTAGTAGTAGTAGTAGTAGTAGTCGTAGTCTTAGTCGTAGCCGTAGTAGTAGTAGTAGTAGTAGTAGTAGTAGTAGCAGTCGCAGTAGTAGTAGTTGTAGTAGCAATCGTAGTGGTAGTGGCAGTAGTCGTAGTAGCAGTAGTAGTAGTAGTAGTAGTAGTAGTAGTAGTAGCAGTAGTCGTAGTAGAATTAGTAATAGTAGCAGTAGTAGTTTTCGTAGCAGTAGCAGTAGCAGCAGTAGTAGCAGCAGTCGTATTAGCACCAGTAGCAGTAGCAGCAGTATTGGTGGTAGGAGCAGTAGTAGTAGTAGTAGTAGTAGTAGTAGTAGTAGTAGTAGTAGTAGTAGTGAGTTGAGTAGGTTGTAGTCGTAGTAAGTTAGTTAGTTAGCTAGTAGTAGTAGTAGTAGTAGTAGTAGTAGTAGTAGTCGTAGTAGTGGTAGTAGTAGTAGTAATAGTAGTGGTGATAGTAGTGGTAGTAGTGGTAGTAGCAGTAGTGATTGTGATAGAAGTGGTAGAAGAGGTAGTAGTAGTAGTAGTAGTAGTAGTAGTAGTAGTCGTAGTAGTAGTACCAGTAGTAGTAGTAGTCGTAGTCATAGTCGTAGTAGTAGTCGTAGCAGTAGCAGTAGCAGTAGCATTAGCAGCAGTAGTAGCAGCAGTCGTATCAGTACCAGTAGCAGTAGCAGCAGTATTGGTGGTAGGAGTAGTAGTAGCAGTAGTAGTTTAATTAGTCGCCGTCGTTGTAGTAGCCGCAGTAGTAGTCGTAGTAATAGTAGTAGTAGTAGTAGTAGTAGTAGTAGTAGTAGTAGTAGTAGTAGTAGTAGTAGTAGTCGTAGTAGTAGTCGTAGTAGTAGTAGTAGTAGTGTTAGTGGTAGCCGTAGTAGTAGTAGTAGTAGTAGTAGTAGTAGTAGTAGTCTTTGTTTTAGTAGTAGTCGTAGTTGTTGTAGTCGTAGCCGGTGTCGTCTTAGTAGTAGTAGTAGTAGTAGTAGTAGTAGTAGTAGTAGTTGTTGTAGTAGTGGTAGTAGGACTGGTACTAGCCATAGTTGTCGTCGTAATATTGGTCGGAGTAGCAGTAGTAGTAGTAGTAGTAGTAGTAGTAGTAGTGGTAGTAGTAGTAGTAGTAGTAGTAGTCGTAGTCGTTGTAATAGTAGTAGTGGTAGTAGTCGTAGTAACAGTAGTAATTGCACTAGTAGTTGTAGTTGTAGTAGTAGTCGTAGTAGTAGAGATGGTGGGTTTTGTAGTAGTAGTAGTAGTAATAGTAGTAGTAGTAGTGGTAGTAGTAGTAGTAGTAGTGGTAGTAGTAGTAGTATCAGTAGTAGAGTAGTAGTTGTAGTAGTGGTAGTTGTAGTAATAGTACAAGTCGTAGTAGTAGCCGTAGTAGTAGTAGTAGTCGTTGTAGTAGTAGAAGGAGTAGTATCAGTAGTAGTAGTAGTAGTAACAGCTGTAGTTGTAGTAGTAGTAGTAGTAGTAGCAGCAGCAGCAGGAGCAGTAGTAGTAGTAGTAGTAGTAGTAGTAGTGGTAGTGGTAGTAGTAGTCGTTGTGGTTGTAGTCGTAATTATAGTAGTAGTCGTAGTCGTAGTCGTAGTAGAAATAGTAGTCGTAGTAATCGTAGTCGTAGTCGTCGTAGTAGTGGTAGCAGTAGTAGTAGTAGTAGTAGTAGTAGTAGTAGTAGTAGTAGTAGTCGTAGTCGTAGTCGTAGTTGTAGTAGTCGTAGTCGTAGTCGTCGTTGTAGTAGTAGTAGTAGCAGTCGTTAGGGGTTTGTAGTAGTAGTTAGTAGTAGTAGTCAGTAGTGTAGTCGTATTATCATAGTAGTAGTTTGTAGTAGTTGTGGTTGTTAGTAGTAGTCGTAGTAGTCATGCGTAGTAGTAGTTAGTAGTCGTCGTAGTAGTAGAGCAGTAGTAGTAGTAGTAGTCGTAGTCGTAGTCGTAGTCGTAGTAGTAGTAGTCGTAGTAGTAGTAGTAGTAGTAGTAGTAGTAGTAGTAGTAGTAGTAGTAGTAATCGTAGTAGTAGTAGTAGTCGTAGTAGTAGTGGTAGTCGTGTTATTACTCGTAGTCGTCGTATTATCATTGGTAGTTGGAGTAGTAGTAGTAGTAGCAGCAGCAATAGTAGTAGATGTAGTAGTCGTAGTCGTAGTCGTAGTCGTAGTAGTAGTAGTAGTAGTAGTAGTAGTAGTCGTAGTAGTACTAGTAGTAATCGTCATAGTCGTAGTCGTAATCGTAGCCGTATTTGTAGTATTAGTAGTAGTGGTAGTAGCAGTAGTCGTATTAGTAGTTGTAGTCTTAGTCGTAGTAGTCGTCGTACTAGTAGTTGTAGTCGTATCAGTAGTAGTAGTAGTAGTAGTAGTAGTAGTAGTAGTAGTAGTAGTAGTAGTAGTACTGGTAGTACTGGTAGTAGTACTAGTTGTAGTAGTAGTATTAGTAGTAGTAGCAGTAGTAGCCGTAGTAGCCGTAGTAGTAGTAGTAGTAATAATATTAGTGGTCGTAGTGGTAGGTAGTCGTAGGAGTAGTAGTCGTAGTAATCGTGGTCGTAGTAGTCGTAGTCGTAGTAGTCGTAGTCGTAGTCGTAGTAGCAGTAGTAGTAGTAGTAGTAGTAGTAGTAGTAGTAGTAGTAATATTATTAGTAGCCGTAGTGGTAGGTAGTCGAAGTAGTAGTAGTAGTAGTAGTAGTAGTAGTAGTAGTAGTAGTAGTAGTCGTGGTCGTAGTAGTCGTAGTCGTTCGCAGTAGTTAGTGTAGTAGTAATTAGTAAGTAGTAGTAGTCGTCGTAGTCGTAGTAGTAGTAGTAGTCGTCGTAGTCGTAGTGTAGTAGTAGTAGTAGTCGTAGTAGTAGTCGTAGTTAGTAAGCAAGCGTAGTAAGTAGTTGCAGTCGTCGTAGTCGTAGTCGAAGTCGTCGTAGTGCGAAAGTCGTGGTCGTTGTCGTCGGCGTTAGTAGTCAGTAGTAGTCGTTCGTACTTGTAGTACTTAGTAGTAGTGTAGTAGTACGTAGTAGTAGTAGTAGCAGTAGTAGTTAGTCGTAGTAGTAGTAGTAGTAGTAGTCGTTTTAGTAGTAGTAGTAGTAGTAGTAGTAGTAGTAGTAGTAGTAGTAGTAGTGATAGTAGTAGTCGTAGTAGTCGTAGTAGTGATGATTGTAGTCGTTTCAGTAGTAGTAGTAGTCGTCGAAGTAGTAGTAGTAGTAGTAGTAGTAGTAGTAGTAGCAGTCGGGTTATTCGTAGTAGTCGTAGTAGTCTGAGTATTGGAAGTAGTATGGTTCTTCGTAGTAGCTGTAGTAGTAGTAGGAGTAGTAGTAGTACTAGTAGTAGTAGTAGTGGTAGTAGTTGTAGTAGTAGTAGTAGTAGTAGTGGTATCTCTAGTAGTAGTAGTAGTAGTCGTTGTAGTCGTTGTAGTAGTGTAGTAGTGAGAGTAGTAGTAGTAGTAGTAGTAGTAGTAGTAGTAGTAGTAGTAGTAGTAGTAGTAGTTGTAGTAGTGTTAGTAGTAGTAGTAGTAGTAGTAGTAGTAGTATGTGTTATTATTCTGATTAGTAGTAGTAGTAGTAGTAGTAGTCGTAGTAGAAGCGATAGTAGTAGTACTAGTAGTAGTAGTAGTAATATTATTAGTAGCCGTAGTGGTAGGTAGTCGAAGTAGTAGTAGTAGTAGTAGTAGTAGTAGTAGTAGTCGTGGTCGTAGTAGTCGTAGTCGTAGCAGTAGTAGTAGTAATTGTAATGGTAGTAGTAGTAGTAGTAGTAGTAGTAGTAGTAGTAGTAGTAGTAGTAGTAGTAGTAGTAGTAGTAGTGGTGGTAGTAGTGGTAGTAGTAGTAGTAGTAGTAGTAGTAGTAGTAGTGTCGTAGTAGTAGTAGTAGTAGTAGTAGTAGTAGTAGTAGTAGTAGTAGTAGTAGTAGTAGTAGTCGTAGTCGTAGTCGTAGTCGTAGTCGAAGTCGTAGTCGTAGTCGTAGTCGTCGTAGTAGTAGTAGTAGTAGTAGTAGTAGTAGTAGTAGTAGTAGTAGTAGTAGTCGTAGTCGTAGTTGTATTAGTAGTAGTAGTAGTAGTAGTAGTTCGTATGTTGCTTTTTTTTCTTTGTTTTTATTTGATATCTGATTATATTTTATAACTGGTCGTTTTTTTTTTTATCATTCTTATTAGTTTAAGGAGTACTATTAATCTTAGTGGTTGTGGTAGGTGGTGGTAGGGTGGTAGTAGTGTAGTGTAGTGTAGTTCGTAAGTCGTAGTAGACGTAGTTAGTGAGTCTCGTCGTAGTTAGTTGTTTAGTAGTAGTAGTAGTAGTAGTAGTAGTAGTAGTAGTAGTAGAAGTAGTTGTAGAGGGGAGGGGGGGGAGGAGGAGGAGGAGCAGGAGGAGGAGGAGGAGGATGGACCGGAGTGCGATGAGGGTCATGCCGCTTTCCCGCCGCCGCCCACTGACGCCCACTATCAGGTCACGCCGCTCTCCGAGGGCAACCTCCGGCGCTGGCTCCGCAAGTACCTCCACTTGCATGTGCGTTGAGCCAGACTGCGCAAAGCAACGGCGAGGAGGAGGAGGAAGATGTGGGTAAAAGTGACGCCCATGACGACCACAGCCCTGACTGCCGTTGACCGCTACACTGGCGAAGAGGACAAAGCCGAGGATGTCTTTGAGGCCAGTAAGGAGAGCGAGATGGTTTGGAGGCCCCGCTGGGGCTGCGCACGTGAGAGTGGTCGGTGGGTCCACCCAGCAGGGGGTCCCCCATGACGCCATCCAGATGATTGAGCAGTGTGGAGGCGGAGGGTGTGAGGGAACTTGGCTCTTGGATTGTGACCGGCACTGACTGCTACGGACGATGACAATGATGAGGGATATTGTTGTTGTGACTGCTGTGGTGACCGTGGTGTTAATGCTGATGTCGACGTTGGGCCATCTAGGTAAATGCAGTGAGCGTGGTTTGCGCGTGTGATGCGTCGCCAGGTCGTTCTACAGCGGCGGCGTGGAGTCGCGGTGCCTGGGCCTGTTCAAGCTTTCTTTCTGCCTCGTTTCTGCATGCATTTGAAACGTGGTCTTGTCAGAGGGAGCGGACGGTGGAGTACATGCGCACGTTATGAGGCCACTGATTGGGTGACCTCTTCCGTAGCGCGCGAGGTCCACTCCAACGGCGCTCGCTTGTGAAACGATTGCTCTGGTATGTGGTGCTTCCTCGGGCTTCTGCTGAATCTCGAAGTATGTACATCGGAGGTGCGGAGGGATGATGAGGAGTGACGACAGGGAAGCAGGGGGGAAAAGGTGGGAGGAGCGCAGGCAGGAGGGGTGCCGTACTGTTATCAGGGAGCCTTGCAGAGGTCGAAGCCGCCAGCAATTCACAGAAGCAGTGTTAGCAGTTTCTCTGTCTGGACGTTCTGCTCGTATAGGTCCATGCCTTTTTCCCTCCTCTTGCTGCCCCCGGTGCCCGAGGACACGAGGTATAGTGCCTTCCGAACTGTCACTGGCCGCCCGATTTCGGGCCTGCTGTGACGAGCCTCGAGCAGTCAGTGCATCGAAGGGAAGGGTTTGAGTTAAGTTGGGACTGTCCCTCTACAGGAGGAAAAGTCAAAAATAGTCGACAAATAGTCTGGGGAATATTTTTGGAGTATTTTTTGACTATGTTTGAGTATTTATTTGAACTAGTTTTGATTTTTCGTCCAAAATCCCCCTGTAGGGGGACATGCCCGGCCTACGGGAAGGGCTTGAGGTCGAGAGCGACGCCGGTGCGACAATTTCGGAGACGGCGCGAGGGTTTGGGGCCTGAAAATTCCTGATCAGGCGCGAGGGCTTCTGAGAAATCCCGCCGCCTTCCGAGAAGGCCTCCTCCTCCTCACTCTCCCCCCCCCAGCTCGCCGCCGAAGCCAGCGCAGCGAAGGGAAGGGCTTGAGGTCGAGAGCGACGCCGGTGCGGACCCCTCGGCGGTCGCGCCACAAACATAAACTTTTGGCGCTCCGCGCGGATTTCTCGGGCCCGCGCTGGACCCGCCCGGCAGCGCCTCCGGCGCCCCCCCCGGCGCGCCAGGGACGGGGGTCCAGCGCAGATCCAAGAATCCGCGCGGAGCGCCAAAAGGTTATGCCTTATGTTTAGAAATCCGCGCGGAGCGGCAAGGAAGGCGGAGTCCTGGAACGCAGGGCTCGTTTCGATTCCTCCGATTCTATTCGGTTCGATGTCGATTGTTTCCGAGGCCGATGGGATCCGTCTTGGGATTTCGATTTGGGTTCCGATTTCTTATTGGAGGCATACTAGCCTGTCGATGTCTGTCGATGCGACTTCTCCCGACTCGGCTGCCGAAAGGATGATGATGATGAAGAGGAGGAGGCGGAGGAGGAGGATGTGGAGGAGGATGAGGAGGAGGGGGAGGAGGAGGTGGAGGAGGAGGAGCAGGAGGAGGAGGAGGAGGAGGAGGAGGAGGAGGAGGAGGAGGAGGAGGTAGGAGGAGAGGAGGATAAGGAGGAGGAGGAGCGCAGGAGGAGGGAGGGAGAGGAGGAGGAGGATGAGGAACAGCGAAGCGGCGGAGGAGGAGGCGGAGGAGGAGGAGGAGGAGGAGGAGGTCGGAGGAGGAGGAGGAGGAAAAGGAGGGGGAAGTAGGAGAAGGCGGAGAAGAGGAGGGGGAGGATGAGGAGCGGAAGGAGGGAGAAGGAGTAGCAGGCGTAGGAGGATGAGGAACAGCGAAGGCGGGGAAGGTAGGAGGAGCAGTAGGAGTAGGAGCAGGAGGAGGAGAATGAGGAGGAGGAGGAGGAGGAGGAGGAGGAGTAGGGAGGAGGCTGAGGAAGGAGGAGGACGAGGAGGGGGAGGAGGAGGAGGAGGGAGGAGGAGGAGATGAGGAGGAGAGAGGAGGAGGAAAAGAAAGGTGGTGGAGGAGGAGGAGGAGGAGGAGGAGGAGTATTGAGGAGGAGGGGCACGAGGAGGAGGAGGGAGGAGGAGCAGGGGCAGTGCGCGAAGTTAGGAGAGGAGGAGAAGGAGGGGAGAAGATAAGGAGGAGGGAGGAGCAGGAGGACGGAGGAGGAGTGAGGAGAAGGAGGAGGAGGCGGAGGAGGAGGAGCAGGAGGAGGAGGGAGGGGCTGATGACGACGAAGACGTCGACGACGACGACGACGACGAACGGCGAAGAGTAACGTGTTGGCGTTGAAGCTGGACCGATCTCGGCCAGCGTGCACCACGCCATGCGAGCGGGCCATCCCACCAAGACCGCTGGCGTCGAAGTCGTCGGCATGAAGGCCGAGCGGGTCGCTCGTCGGTGGGCTGCGATATGGACGCCAGGCTCGGACGCCAGGCTCCTCCTTATCCCTCCTCCGCCTCGACCTCTTTGTTCCTCTTCCTCCTCCTCCTCCTCCTCCTCCTCCTCCTCCTCTTCCTCCTCTCTCCTACTCCACCCCCTCCTCTTCCTCCTCCACCTCCACCTCCTTTTCCTCCTCCCCCTCCCTCCCCCTTTTCCTCTTCCTCCTCCTCCTCCTCCTCCTTCATATTCTCTTGCCAGAGTTGTCGTGGGAGGCCCGCGCCCGCGCGGTTGCCAAGGCCTCTCCACAGGTCAGGGGCCCTCTTCCTGAGATGGATTTCCGAGGATTGCCCAGCAAAGGCAGGATCGCTGAATCGGGTCAGCCAGTTATTCTTTCTTCCCCCTCGGTGGTGCTCCCTAATCCGCATCCTCCTCCTTCGTAGTCATTCCGTCCGTAGGCATTTGGGCTCACGTCGTTTTGGCTTCACAGTCTTCGGACAAGGATCCTTCAACAGCTAACTTTAGAACGGGAGTGCTGTTGCGAGCCGATTTTGGCTTCTCTCTACAGTTCTCGCAGTCTCGCAGGCGGTACGCAGCAGTGGCGGCTGGTCCGAGCAGGCGTGGGCCCGTTGGTACGGCAGCAGCGGCGGTGCACGACTTGGAGGAGGAGAGCGTTGGCCCCAGGTTCCCTGGGTCCGTGCTCTTTCGCCAGGCAAAGGCGAGCAGGCTAATCCGCTCGACGCTTGCTCACCGCGCTGCTGGAGGTGCGACGACTGTGGCTGCCACAAACACTTATTTTGATGGTCATCGTGTAAACATTGCGGTGTGGTCCGTGGCTAAGCGTCTGCTGCTCGCGCTCTGATGGTCCAAGGAGTGGATTTGAGGGGCCAGCGCTTCCGTGCCCCCTCTAGAGTCAGTCCAAGCCCATGCGCCTTAAGCTCGCAGTCGTGTTCAGCAGTCGGAAAGAAATATGGTGCAGGAGGTTTCAAAGCTCGAGAACAAGCAACAGCAGCAGCTGGTCTTCCAACAAGATTTCGCCGCCGCAGCCACGTCCAACCTGGACGAGGCCAGCGGGGTATACAAGAGTTTCGTGAGTGAGCTTGCTTGTGGCATCATTGCTCCTGCTGCGCCCAAGGCGTCTCAGCAGTCATAGTCCAATATTCTCAGGGTTGAGGACACTGTATCTGGCCAGGCCGAGGCGCTTGACTTCATCGACGCTTCCTCCCTGTGCGCCACCGACACGGTCACATACGAGGTTACGGCAGAGGATTCCCAGCAGCATGACGGGCGTCGCGATGCACACTATTCAGTTTCAAGAAGTGGTGGCGGCTCTTTTGGAGCCCTCGAGAAGACCCAGGAGTTCAAGCATGCCCACGCTGGCCACCTCCGCCGCCTTGGCCAGCAGTGGGGCCACGGCGCTGACGGTCTGGTCGAGGTGGGGGGTGCTGGGCAGGAGGTGCCGCCCGCGTCGCCAAGTCCTGAAGGCGCCCCTGGAGCTGCGGCAGGAAGTGGAGCAGGCGCTTCAGCCAGCCAAGCTTTGGGCGTTGAGGCACGGGCTCTCCCTGTCGAGGGCGGTGCTGCTGGCCGCGATGGTCAGGGTCCTCTTGGTGGTGAGTCCATGGCAGTTTCCGATCCCGACGACGACGAGTTTGCTGCAGGGGAAGATGCCAGGTCGCGCGCGGCTAAGTTGCTGGCAGCCATTGGCCCCTCCTGTCGACGCAGGGGCGCGAAGCATCTGCCAATGGGGGGGCTCGTTCGATACTGTTTTTTGGAGCACGAGGTCAGGGTCATGCTTGTTTCAGTCTTCGCACAATGTCTCGACTTTTGCATTGTCTATTCGGTCAGCCTGGGTGCCTACAGTGAGTATTTGTTCACTGTTACATTTCGGCGAGAGCAGCAGATACCAAGCATCCTTGCCTCTTTTTGCGGTGCTGTGTCCCGCGGCATTGGCTTCTTTTGCCGCGGCTACCTGTGGGGGCCCTGAGCTCGCCAACTAGTCTTAAGTCGGGCCTGTCCCTTTACAAGGGGAATCTTCAAAATAGTAAAAAGTAGCCAGGGGACTATTTTTGGATTACTTGTTTGGCTATTTCGGTGTTTTTTTGTCTGGAGTTTTTTTCTCTTCAAATCGCCCAACATCCCCCTGTAGGGGGACACGCCCGACTGAAACTAGTCTCAGCTCAGTGTTGCGAGGCGGCAGGCGTTGCCGGCGCGGCCCCCCAGGCCCTCTGGGTGGCCGCGTGTGCCTGCTCTGCGCGGAGCTCGGCCTTGGGGCTGGCTGTTTACCACCTCCCCCTTCTTGGTTCCCCCGTAAGAGCGCCGTCTGACATCGGCCGATCGGATCGCAGAAGCCTGACAGTGGAGGCCCAACAGTGATTGGGCACTAAGGAATGGTTGGAAGATTGATGGGCCTGTTTTCCATCACCCCCACCACCATAACTTGGAGGGGGGAAGGAGGAGGAGGAGAAGGAGGAGGAGGTGGAGGAGGAGGAGGAGGAAGAGGGATTATTCGTTAGTAGTAAGGAGTATGAAGTATTCTTATTACTACGAGTTTAGTATGAGGCGAGTGTGTGTAGTAGTAGGAGTCATTTGTTTGTATTATGTAGGTAGTAGTCCTGTATTCGTAGTAGTATTAGTATGCTCGGTAGTATGTGATTCTGATGTGGAGTTTATGAGATGAGGAGGACCCCTTTCCCCTCCAACTGATGGTGGTGGTGGTGGTGGAAAACAGGCCCAACAATGGTTGGAAGATGGCGAGGCTGCCAGCTAAGGTGGCTTCGGAGACGGGCGCCTCAGCTGGGGCGGCAGTGCTTCGCAGGCACATCGTCGGTCTCGCCGCGCTCCCTGGAGCGGCGGAGCTGGCCCACCGTTCTGCAGGAGTGCTCTCGCCAACGTTGGGCGTCGGGGCCCGATCTGAGCAGTCCGCTGCTGCGTTCAAGTCGGGCCTGCCCCTCTACAGGAGGAGTATTCAAGAACTATTCAAAAATAGTCCAGGGACGATTTTTTGTTGTACCATTTTTAGTTTTTTTGTCGGGGGTATTTTTGATGTTTCGTTCCAAATCCGCCTGTAGGAGGACACGCCCGACCGAATGCTACCTGCGCGATCGTCAGGGACTGGAAGACCACGATCAGTTCGTCTCGTTTAAGCTCGGCGGCTTGTGCCGTCCACCTTGGGCGGGTTCGTGGTCGGAGTGGGTGGGGGTATTGGGCCGCGCGTTCTTGGGCCAGTCCAATTCGCGAAACAAACTGCGTGGCCAGCAGATCACTCTTCGGAATCCAATCTGCACTTCTATTGAGAAGGGTGGATCCAAGCTGTGCGAGTGATTCGTTGCGTCATTTTGGCTGTCGGAAGTTCGGGTTCGCAGGTCTGCCCCCCTTTTCCCTCGCCCCCCTGCGCCTCTCTCGTTTCGCTCGTCAACTGTATGGGCTCACGGTGCCGTCCTTCAGGGGGCCGCCTCCGCCCCCTTCCGCTATCCCCGCTGGCCCGACCCCCTGCCTTCCTGAGTGGGCCAGTGAGCAACCGCTGGCCGCATGTGTCTTGGGGGTCGCCCGGTCCGGATCGAGGGCGGGCGGCTCCGGCGCTCTCCGAGGTTCACGAAGCGCGGGCGAACGTGGCCGGCCGCGGGCTGGCGTGGGCCTTGCAGCGCGCGCTTCCGAAGTTTGGGCGTCGGGGTGAGGCCCCCAAGGCGTGGTGGGTGAGCATTCGCCGGCGCGGCCGTCGACCCGCCTGTTACCCGGAGCTGCTCTGCGGGGAGCGTCCCTGTCATGCCTTTGGTTCTGGAGGAACGCTGCGAGCGTAACGCTAAGTGGCCGCCCTGTCGGGTATTTGCTGTTAGGCGCGGGCCCGACGTAGATTGAGATCGCGATGATAGCGCGCGGGCGATATTGAATCCCAGTAAACTTCGTGGAGGTCAACATGTCAACGGTATTCACGGCGAGTTGTTGTCCGGCCGCTGGGCTTTCATCGGTCGGGCTGGGTAGTTTGTGGGGAAGGCCGACGAGCTTGCAGATCTGTCGATTGATGAGCCCAGCGGGCGATCTCGAATGCGCGGCTTGATGGCGAGAGGTTGCGGAGTGATGGCCCCAGAAGGACGCCGACCATGGAGCTCGCTCAGCGCGCCTGTTTGCAGGGCTGATTGAAACTTGGCTTCCGTCCTCTACCGCGTCGGCGCGCGGGCAGTTCGTGGCCGACCCTTTGGCTTTGTTCCAAGCTGCAGGTTGTGAATTTTCAGTGCTTCGGTTCGCCGACTGGGGCGTTGATGATTTTGCCTAAGAGTGTGAGTTTGTCCCCTTAGAGCCTCCAGTTTCATCCATGTTGTTGGCTACCCCTTGGGGCCGCCCAGAGCTTGCAGGGGGGTCGTAGCGGGGTGCGACAAACCGACAATTTTCGTTTGCATTTACCACGTCTGCGCGTACTCTTTATCTCTTCCTCCCCATCTGTCTCGCTCGACTACTGCATTAGCGTCGGGCGCGCTGCTCCAGGTGTTCTTCCCCGCGCAGTGCCTGCACTTAAGGGGTTCTCACTTGGCTCGGCCATCTGGGCCGAGGGCGGCGTTCGCGGGCGGTGCCACCCGTCGCCGTCCGCCGCCGCCGCCGCTCGTCTCGGGGCCAGGCGCGGCCGTCGCCGTCCGCGCCGCCGTCGCCGCCGTCGCCGCGCCGTCGCTCGGGGCGACTAGCGGTTTTTGTGGGCGGTGCCGCCCGTCGCCGCCGTCGCCGTCGTGGCGAGTGGCGGTTTTCGCGGGCGGCGCCGCCCGTCGCCGCCGTCGCCGTCGCATAGATTCTCCTTTCTAAACTCTCCCCCCCCCCAGATTTCCGCTTCCCTTTTTCGTATTGCAATGTACATGCGATTTTGCCCCATCGTCCGTCCCAAGTATGAACTTACTCCATCCCAGGGGGGCTGGTGCGCATGTCGACGCATGTCGGGGGTCACGCTCCTCCTGAGGGGGGGGAACCAATGGCCCTCCCAATGGCTGAAAAAGGAGCCTCCGACACCTCGCGATCCTT